GCGGATACAGACTAACACGGCTGCTACTCTGAAATCTATTATTGTGGAGTAACAGATCTATCAATACGAGCAAAGGGAAGCATAATTTTCATATCTAAAAATGTATTTTAAAATGGTGAGCATGTGTCTATATTCTGCCTTTAAACCGACTACTGAAGGCCTATATTTTATTAACCACAGTAAGAAAAACTCTCCAATCTGCTTCTGCTGAAAAATGGTAAAAGTGCATACAAAGAGGAATTTACTCAATAGGTGCACGAGTGGAAAACTTCAAAGGGAAACATTTGTAGGTTTAATTTGTTCCAGATGATGAGAGTACCAACATACTGGCCTGCAGGTTAGTGATAACAGGTTAACGCCATTTTGCTTTGCAGGAAATGAAAACTTAGGAAGATTAAGTGAGAAACAAAATATTAAAAAGAGATTGAGTCCAAAAAAAAAAAAAGAGGAAAGAGAGTGAGAGAAAGCAGCAGAGAGGGAGAGAGCATCAAGTGAAAACCTACTTGTCACATTCTGGGGTGCAATCCAGACCAGTGTGGGGTTCTGTCACCACCTGCCCTGCAAATTTGGGTGCCTCACAATGCTTTGCTGTTGTAGCTCCCAACCTGGGCCGCTCACAAACAGCAGGCAGGTCACCTCCTGAGTATGTGTGTGTTGCTGCAGTCTTGGTCCAGCATCTCTGACACCAGCAGCTTGTCAGCAAACACCAGCCACATACTGGCTTCCAGCAGTACTTGGTTACTACTTGCAGTGACCCCAAGACACTCCCAGTCCTGGATTGTCCCCAAAATGTGTGTTCTGCACTGTTCAGCCTCTCCGGGGCAGTTCAGATATTATCCAACAGTTTGCTACTTTAACTGGAGTTACCCAAACAGTTCAGTTTAAAGACAACACTGGATTACGTTTGGTTAAAAAATAAAAAGTTTATTTATCTACAAAGAGATAGATTTTAAGTGAGTACAAGTATAAATATTAAAGTCAGAAATGGTTACAAGAGAAATACAGATAAAATGCTTTCTAGTAGCTAAAACGAAACTAGTCTTGGTTCAAGGTAAAATCCTTATCCCAAGTTCCCAGCAACAGGGCTGACCAAATTCTCAGGTCACGATGCCCTCACCAAGTCAAAGAGCTGGTTCCTTTGTCTTCTTGGGTGAAAGAGAGAGCAAGAGAGAGATAGGGAGAGAAAGAAAGATATCCCTGGGGTGTTTTTGCCCCTCACTTTTATAGTCCAGTCACCCTTTGAGATGCATTTTCCGGAGGGTTACCCCTAGATAAATTTCCTTCCCACTGTGAGGACAGAGACATGGCATCTTGTGGTGAAAGAGGTTCCATGTTGTTGCTTGCTAAAACGCAGAGCAGGTCTACACTTAAAGCATTGCATTAGTGCAGCTGCGCCACTATAGCGCTTTGGTGATGACGCTACTATGCTGACGGGAGAGCTTCTCCTGGCGGCATAGTTAATCCACCTCCACGAAAGGCGGTATCTATGTTGACAGGAGAAGCCCTCCCATCGACATGGCTCTGTCTACACTGGTGTATAACTAACTGTATCGCTCCGGGGTGTGGCTTTTTCACACCCCTGAGTGATGTAGTTATACCAATGCAAATTCATAGTTATACCTGGCCGCAGATCAACCTGTTCCTGCCTCCCATTCACTGCCAAATGGCCACTTGATGGGTGATTTGCCAATCAACTTTGATGACACCAGGCTAGAGGTGTTAGCTTGTCCGTTGTCTCTAAGGAACAGGTTACCTCCTTCCCAGATTTGTCTGGTAAAAACATTTCAGTCATAATTTCAGTTTATGTTCACTACTTTACATATTATGTTGCTACACACATTTCACCATGATCTTTTGTACAAAGATTATTACAGTAGTGTGTAGGGTGTGAATACAGAGGTGCATTCGGTCACCCTACTAGTCTAAGAACAGGTCTACGTTACAGACCTGTATCTGGATAACTACGTCTCTCAGGGGTGCGAAAAATCTACACCCTGAGCAACAGTTATACCAATCTAACCCCCCGTGTAGACAGCACTATGTTGATGGGAGAGCTTCTCGCCTCAACATAGCTACTGCCTCTCGGGGAGGCGGATTAACTACACCAACAGAAGAAGCTGTCCTGTCAGCGTAGGAGCATCTTCACTTAAGCGCTGCAGCTGCACCAATGCAGCGTTTTAAGTGTAGGCTGCCTAAGAGGTAGGCCTAAAGTGTTTTGGGGTGGGGTTTTGTTTTGTTTTTTTTTAAGTTATGAATTTCTGCATCTCCCAGGACTGAAAGAACAGGTTTAACCAGCATCTCCCTGAGTGATTTTTTTTATAATGGTAGATGTTAAATTTTATTTCCACTTTGAAATTGGCATGGGCGTGGCAGTGTTCAGTGTTTCAGTTAAAACTTTTATGTATAAAAAATAAGAGTTGCAAAGATATGTTTTTCAAAACTAGAATGGCATAAAGGTGTAGGAAGTATAGGAAGGACTTTAGGGCTATTTGACACAGAGCTATCTACCAGCATAATTATATCGGTATAATTCCCCACGTGGACACTCTTACTCCCGCACCCCATGTCTGTCTGCTCTGATTAGATTGTAAACTCTTCTGGGTGGGAACTGTCTACTACTCTGTGTTTGTACAGTGCCTAGCACAATTGGGCCCCATTCTTCGCTGGCCCTTAGGCACTACCATACTAAACATGATTAATAACTATAGCGGTATAATTGTACCAGTAAATTTCCCCATGCAGACAAGCCCTTAGATACTACTAAGATGAGCATTATAAAAACAGATTACAAAGAGACTATGTAAAAATGGCACCTTCTTACTCAATAAATTTGCTCAGTTTTTAACACTTTCACTCCTGTAAGCCCTGCCAAGTCAGCACATGCAGAAGAGAGAGCGCATCATCAACAAAAATGATTAACTGAGAACGTGACCTTGCAATGAAATGTGCACAAGAGTCCATCTGCACCCAACTCACTGAAGGATCTGGGCTTAAATTCCAAGTGCAGCATCAAAATGTGCCCTCAATTACGCCTACATTATGCTATTTTCCTCATTGCCAGGGCAAACTGAATAAGTATCCTATCTCAGAGAAAAGTGACAAGCAATTTAAAGTCCATGATACTATGTATTGTCTGCAGAGCCGCAGCAAAGTGTGTTTCAGCAAGAATTAACCAGCCTGGCATCTTCCCTTTTTACAAGATTACAGTATAATACAGGGGTCGGCAACCTTTCAGAAGCAGTGTGCCGAGTCTTCATTTATTCACTCTAATTTAAGGTTTTGCGTGCCAGTAATACATTTTAACGTTTTTAGAAGGTCTCTTTCTATAAGTCTATAATATATAACTAAACTATTGTTGTATGTAAAGTAAATAAGGTTTTTTAAATGTTTAAGAAGCTTCATTTAAAATTAAATTAAAATGCAGAGCCCCCCGGACCGGTGGCCAGAACCCAGGCAGTGTGAGTGCCACTGAAAATCAGCTCGCGTGCCGCCTTCGGCATGCGTGCCATAGGTTGCCTACCCCTGGTATAATTCTAAGGCCTGAATGTTCTTTAGTGAAATTCTATTTTCAATCCCTCATTAAATTTGTTAAATAAATAAAAAAATCTGCTCAGGCTGAATATTTCCATGTTCGATCATAGTGAAAGAACTATTTTACAAAATAACTGTTGCTGAGGTGCATAAAATGTGGTTTATGTTTTCACCAGAATGCAACTAAAATAAACTAACTGTCCCACCACACACGTACTTTCAATTAAAAGGAGAAAGAGCAGGTGCCATTGTTAAGTGATTACGTAATAACAAACTCTGTCACAGTGCAAGCACCAAGCAGAACAGAACTATGGTTATTGTGGGACAATAATTATTTCCTAGCCTTTGTGGGGTTTAATTTAACCTTAATAGTGCATTAAATTTCTTTTGCACTTTACTTTTTTTAAAACAAAATGTTGCCTCGTTATTTCATTGCAGAGGCCCTGTGGAGTGAGTAATCACAAGAAAATCAGTAGTTAAGGGCTCCATCTGCACAGTAAGGTCTACCCAGGTAGATCCACTGATAGGATCTATTAGAAGAAAATGCAACAGAATGAGGAGTTTGGTAACATGTTGGTATTCATGGCACTGATTCCCTTTCTGGTGGCATTTGGAGGATAGGTTAAAATGACTAGTAGCTACACAAACAAACAGACCACACTAAAGCACCCAAAATAAGTTTCCCATGAGGAAATACAAATTTCTCTGACCTCCATACACCAAAGAAATTCTATACACAATTGCTATTTTACGTATAACAAATCAAAGAGTGACTGCTGCGATCTTTTATTTTTGCAAGTCTTGTAACGTTTGGAACTGCTGTAACTACGACAGACACTTTCAGAGCTGATACAGAGATATTCCACTGCAGTGGAATCAAAGAACTATTCTTTGTGGTTCACTTACCTATATATCTGAAGATACAGCTGGTGTAATCGACTGCAGGAATCAGAGAGGAAAGGAATAAATTCCTGCAAAAGCCACCAATTTTGAATGGTATTTTCAAAATGAAATAACGATTAAATATATTTTTCTTCTGCTTACTTGAATTTTGTTTTGAAATGCTTTATTATGAAGTCTAATTTTTAAAAGTTGTAGCCTGCTGTGATACATAGTGCAAAAGAAATGCAAAATGCACAACACATGACAAATTATCAAGTAAAATTATCATATGTTTCTCCTCTTTAGGAAGCTAAATGATAAGCTAAGGGTTTTCTTAAACTTCTTTTACAGGAGCAATAACCACAGTCAATCACAAACAAACAAAAATGCACTCTTCACATATTTTAAAGACTATTGATTCTATCCCATGCATAAACAAAAAGATAACTGACATTAACACAACAGACAAGGTGATTCTATACCTCATTATCTACTCTGCATTTGTTATTGCTATTTGGTGTGTTACTTAAATGGGTACCAAGAGGTTAAAATAAGAATATCAGAAGAAAGAGGTGGGGGGAGAAGGAAAGGACAGAGAGAAAGAGTAGGAAAGAGGAAAGAGGTTTTCTGTAGTTATCCCTAGGTAGGTGATAGGAGCTTGCAGAAAATCCCAGGAGAAGAAGAGTCCAGCCAGATTATTTATTTTTAAATCTCCTGCTCACATTTGCTTTAAGAGGGAGCTTAAGGTCTTTTTAAAGAGCAATCAAACACCAGAACTCACACATTCAGAGACAGCCTTACACCTTTTTCTGTGTAACAATTTTTCTCCACCCATCTCCATATGTAACTGATTCCTGTTCACCACTATTACACTGCTGCACAAGACTAGCCAGAGGATTTGTGGGGAGGGTTAGGAAGGGGATTCTCTTGGCTACATCCCAAACTTAACTACCCTATTTTATAAAAAGATGTTGGACAGTGATTGAGATCTTCAGGTATCGCCCCACCTCCAGCCTCCTGCTGCAGAAATGGAATCCAACTATTTGTGCTGGTGATATGGATAGTTGCCAACATCTAGACAAATGTTGCAAAGGGCAGTTGTTCAAGTAAGTTGGGGGTCTGTCGATCACTAGGCCCCAAAGCCACTGGTGAACCTGTTTCTCTCTCGCACCGTCACTTGGTAGATGTGTGTATTAATATCCCAATTTTGTAGACACGGAAACTATGGCACAGAGACAGGACTTGAATGAAGGAATCCTTTATTCTCAGTCGTGTACTTAATCCACTAGAACAGTGGTTTTCAACCTTTTTTCATTTGCAGACCCCTAAAAATTTTGAATGGAGACATGGACCCCCTTTGGAAATCTTAGACATAGTCTGTGGACCCCCATGGGTCTGCGGGCAACAGGTTGAAAACCACTGCACCAGACCATACTGCCTCTCATGCTATCAAATTCATCCTCCTAGTGGCAAATGATCATATTGGCTTCTCAGCAACTGAACAAGTTCAAATGAAGGCAGTCTGCTAGTAGGAAGCTGTTAGCGGCCCCGTAAAATCAGCAGCCTCCTGGGTGGAGCTACCTCCCTCAGCTGAGAACTAATCTGCGGCCCACACTGAAAAAAGTTGAGGGTCCTGTGGACAAATGCCAGCCCTGGGATGCTGGACGTGGGACCAGGAATATGTTGTGAACATTATGGATAAATCAGCAACAAGCTTACACCCCTCACAACTGTTTGTCTGTTTACATTTTCAAGGCAATATTGGTCCAGTGCCAACTGTGAGGGATAAGCACCCCTCTACTGACTCATCAATGCCAATGCCTGCTGCATCTCGCTGCTCCCATCCAGGTACAGTACTGACCCTGCTTAACGTGTGAAATCTGATGGAGTCAGAGAGCATGGTGTTCAGCTGGAAGAATACAGCAAGGCAGCTATTTAGCAAAGGATAGGCAGAAGTAGTGAACAGTATTAGGTATCCAAATTGTATTACATGTGAGATAATAAATCACAAGCAGGTAAGTATGGGTGTTAATTATGCCATCCAGATACCACAGTCATAAGTATGGTGTAGCAACACAAAATACTTGATCAGTGTGTCTATTTGCATAGTACAGAGTTAGTTTTATACTCACGTAGGACCCATATAATAAATCTTACCTTGATGTAGTGAACAAGAGAATTAGCAAAGAATCTACACAGTTTGACTGTCCTCTGGAACAACTTGTAGTCAGTGGTCTCCTATCAAAAAGGAAAGCAGCAATGAAAACACCATGGACAGACTAAGAAGATATCAAAGAAAGCAACATTGCAAGATACATTACTAACAGGGCTAGAAGCTTTATTTTGTTTGTTAAAGGAAGCTTGGATTCCACACAAACACAGCAGAAATTGGGGAAAACCCCTAAGAATGTGTGATGTCCCTGGAATCTCGAAACAATTTTTCACAGGAATCTTCAAAATTTAACTGTTATCTTTTAATTGACCTAGTGAAAGCAGCAGTATGTGAAATGAATGAGATTCCTGATAGAGTACTGGAGGAGCGGTGGGAGGGAGAATACTCTTTGTATCTACCCAAAGTATCCTGGATGCTAACCAGTGCTATCAGACTCCCTTTCAATGTGGTTTTTTAGAGAACCTTGTAAGCAATGTGAAGTACCTAGTGTGTAAAATGAGACTGTTTTTTCACCAATAACACTGCATAGCAAACATATCTATTTTTGCAGTGCTTCCTAACCCAACTCTTTCTCAAGCCCAAAAGTAGTTTTGGGGGATTGTTCATTCACCTGTGTCCCAGACAGCTTCATCTGCTCAGCCAGCTGCAAACAGGAATGGAACGAGAAGAGGGTGTCCTTGCACAGGCCACTGAGGATGTCCTTGTGTTTCAAATGGCTCTGTAGCAGGGAATGGTGCTTGAGGCTTTGCCTAAAAAAGCCAGACAGGAGCAGGATCAGATGCTTAATTGTCAGAAACAAATCAAGTGACAACAGGTCATCATGAGCACTATTCCACAGACCCTACTCTACTCTGTCTAGGCTCCTACACTGCACCCGTCACCATGGTATCTGAGTGCACTAATGCAGCGGTGTCCTGACAAATGCCAAGGAACTCAGAGACAGAACCATTCTTGTCCCATTGTGACTATTTATTGAAGCACAGAAGGGATACAGGATGCGTCAACAAGGTGACAGAATCTAATCCAACAGTGTCGGTGGAATTCCAATTCAGATCCTTGGGGAACACTTAAATCATAATATTGTATTTAGAATTTATTTCCTTAACACATTATAAAAAAGATAAAAGAGTGTTTCACTTTCTAACACAAGGCTCATAACTTTTTCCACTGAGAATGCATTACTGGTTGAACTTCAGTGGGAATCAGGGCCCCACCTCCCATAGGCACTTTTGAAAAGTCTAGCTTTAAACAAGTTATAAAACAGTGGCTCTAAAATACACTTGGGATACACAACAGCAACATTCAAAGTATTAAAACATACTTGATTATGAACTTCCATGTGTTGGCATGAAGGGCATGGTCCATGTTGGAAATGACAGAGCAGATCTCCAGCACAGTGTGGATCACTGCAGAGGGAACAGTAAGAGCAAACAAACACCGAGTTTAAATGGACCTGTATATTCAATGCCTGAAAAAAACCAAACACAGCTGTCACATCACTGCATTTGCAAAACCACTTCCAGTTCTGGAAAACTGACCAATTATAAGGTGCTGAACGCCCTTAACTCCCACTGAAGGCAACAGGAATTGAGGGTGCTCAACATCTAGCAGGAAGTGCGCTGCATTTTGGGGGATCAGGCCCACTGTCTGTAGAAAACAGGGGGCTGGGCAGGATAAAGAAACATCTTTCATATACACACCTGACACCATATCTACAATACTGTCCTCAGCAGAAGCAGATTCCATAGAGATCATATCAAGCAGCTCCATAAGCTGCTTTTGAAGAGAATAGGTCTCTTTAAACAGAGATTGCAGGAGGTCAGAAATCAAGTGCAGGCACTCACTGTACAGTGACTCGCTGTCCTGTAGGAAATGTGGGATTAGGGAGCATTAGAAAATGTCTGAGAATCAAGACCTGATGTTGCTCCTGCTGAAATCAATGGGAATTTTGTTACAAATGTCAATGGGCGCAGAATCAAGGCATACAAACATCTACTTCAACTCACACAACCAGCAAGAGCTGTAGATTTTAAATAGCCATCTGTGGTTACTATGCACGAAATACAAAATACCACTCACTTAGGGCCTGATCCAAAGACCAGTGAATCAGCAAGAGTCTTTCTAGTGATTTAACTGAACTTTGGATCAGACCATTGATGCATGACTCTAAAATCAGATTTCTACCAAAATCTAGGACCATACTTCATGACAAACATAGTTGTATCCCAAAAGTTTCCCAGTATGTTAAAGTATTTCTTAATAATAGATTGCCTACCGGAGGAGAAGTCCTTAGCAAGGTCTCACTGTGTAATTTGGCTCCATAAGTATTTAAAGGTTCTAATACGCAAGGAAGACAAGCTCAAAAGTGAAATTGATGCCAGTAGGATGGATGACAAATTACTATGTCTTATGATACTGGCACTGCTTATAGCAGGAAAGGTTTCAAGCACAACAATCAGTTTTCCTCCACGTGCAGGTGCTGTAAAATGCGACACCAACATGTTTTTATACATAACGCAAAGTATTTAATCCCAATCACAAGTCTGCCTTGAAATTTGTACTGAATCATAGGGTTAATATTAACACATCCATAATCACTTACACCTCTGCAAACCCACTGAAGACAATGGGCTTGCACAGGTGTCAATGAGGGCCTAATTAGTTAAACAACTTATTGGGCACAATACAGGAGTAACTGGGTGAAGTGTAATGGCCTGTGATGTACAGATCAGACTAGATAATCTAATGATCCCTTCTCATCTTAAACGGTATGAATTTAATCAGAAGAACCTTTATTACTGGTAATAATGCACAAGATGGAAATAACAGCTTGGCTTTCAGAGGCCACGCTGAGTTTGCAGGGCTGGCAGATGGAAAAGCCATCTTCATACTTGTAAACAGAGCACATTTGATCCAATATTGAGACAACAAATATGGAAAGCCACAAATGTAACTTTTCAAAGCAAAATCACATATCAAGGATTTTTTTAAATGATCTATAACTAGATCTAGAATAGTTTTTTCCCCTATTAATCCAGAGACCTACCTTGCAGTGCATAAATGTGTTTTTGATTACATAAAGAATGGAAGAGGGAAGGGTACGGATACTCTCTAGAGGCACAGGCTCCTGCAGGGTACAGATATGTCGCACACAACCCGTCAGAGTTTCCAGCAGCTGCAGCATAGTCTGCAAGTGAGATCATTATCATCATCATCATCACTGAAGGCACAATCTATAACAGTACACTGCAGCAGTTAATTCAAAAAGCAAAAATTATAAAGCAGCTCTTCCCTTGTGCATTTGGCTAAACTGTTCTCTGTCTTTTAGGACATTAGCAAACGGAAAAGTATTAGGAAGCCAGAAAGATGAATGAAGCTCTGTAAAAAAGACAGCAGCAGTTTCAGACCACAGCTTTTCTGTGATGTCATATTCTCTTTACGTGAGAATCATGTTTGTGACAGTATCAACTAACAGATCTTTCAAAGCACAGCTATACCCTAAAAAGTGATTATGAAAAAAATAGCACCTTCCTAAATACCGACTCTGCTCCTTGAGAGCATTTAGAACAACATCTGCTTGCCTTTTTTTTTTTTACACTACTATTTATTCCTGTTAGCACTGCTGACCCAATCCAGATCTTGGAGAAAAAAATTGATTCTATTCTGGCTTACACATGATCTACCAAATTTTTAACTCAAATCCAACTGAAGGCTAAATTTTGCCCTCAGTTACACTTTTGTAACATTAATGAATACAATGGAACTGCATGTGTGTCATTAAGGGCAGAATCTGGCCTGCAGAATCTTTATTACTGATGATGGAATATCATATAGAGTCAATGACAGATAAACATGAAGCCTCACAATGCAACATGATGAAAATCAAGACTAACAATGCTGAGGGTTGGAGGTCTAAGGCCCCAATCCTGGAAGTATTTATACACATGCTGAACTACCCTTTATCAACAGAAATATATGGACACTGCCTGACATATTCAAACTAGCTGCACTATGACAAATCCAGAATGGAATTTTACATTCAGCTGTTACTGGCACAAACACTTCACAAATCTCTCCACAGTTTTGGTAAAAAACATATAATCACCTAACCACTCCTCTTACAGCTCATTTCAATAGACTTACCTGTAAAACATTCCTCACCGCTTTGCATAATTCTATGTTCTGGCTGGTTAGTCCTTTGGCTTGACTGGATAATTCATACAACAAATCATCAAATAATTGTATTGCCTGTCAGAATAAAGCAAATTAAAATAAAACTGATATTATTAGACTCCAACATATATCCAGTATAAAACCAGGGCACCCATCATACATCCACTTTCATCTTTGGTATGGAGGTGTGGAATGCAGACACTTATGCTTCATAGCCTAGCTGTTTGAAGCAAGAAGTATTGCATGTCATAACCTGCAGTTTCCATAGGTCACAATTCTATTTAAGATGAGGGCAGATATCATGTGTTCTGTTATTACACAGAAATGAGTCTCTCTATAGTTAGTTTAAAGGAGCTTCCCATTTAATCTCCAACCCCAACTTTAACCAATATTATTAACAACATTACTACAAATTTTATAAAATAAATCATACTCTAGCACAGACTTTTCTTAAGTTTGGTTCAAATCAATCATTTTGGAGACAGAGAGTTTTGTTTTGTTTTAAAGGCAGTTTATTATTCTGAAAAGGTTTGGAGGTCATGTCATTTTGAAGATCTGTTTTTCTTTTGGTTGGTCTTGATGCCTTAGAGTTGTTAGTCGTGGAATTAGAAAGATATAAGCAGCTCTTTCCAAGCATATACAGAATGTTGCATCGCTGATGTGGTGAAATTACACAGGTTTAGGATATGCACATTATAAAGCAGTTCCTTTCTATGCTCTGAAAATCTGTTGAGGATGATTAATATTGGGGTAGGAACTGACCAGGAGCTCTTACAGACTTCCTGTTGTCTACAATCAGGGGTTCTAGGGAATTAAACTCCTACAGACAATGGGAGCTAGGCAACCCCTATTGTAGTCTCTTCTATTTCATTTAAAATGTGAATATTTAATTTAAGAATTTCAGTATAGCTATAATAAATAGGGAGTATTTCATGTTGTCAGGATTGACCATATCCTAGGTTAATTTGGCCTTACAGGTTATTTGTTACAAATACTTTGGTCTTCGGCCTTGCAATTAATTTAGCCAAAGAAGCACCCTCAAATTATAATAAATAAATAAATGATCATAATCATAATAATGTAATTCTGCATTTGCTTATCATCTGTTTTAATAGGTCAATTTTTCTCAAAACAGGCTTTTAAAATTCACTTTGTTATTGACTACATCATGCATAACATCACTGGCCCACTCTTCCTGCCATTGAAACCAACACTAAAAATCACAGGAGCAGGACTCAGGATATAAAATCATGAGACCATTTTAGAGTGAAAGGGAACGTATTTCAAACATTAGCTTGATTTCAAAACAAGAATTCTATCATACAAACTACTACAGACCTTGTAGTAACCAGATTTTTAGTATTGTATTGATGTTTGATTCTTCACATTACGGAAGACATCATACCTTGGGTAACACTTTTGAGAAAAAGGTTTGCTCTAATTCTGAAAGGTTGATATGAGGCAGAAACATTTCAGTCAGAATCCTCAGCACACCTGTGAAGCAAAATATTTGCAGTAAAGGAGAACACCATAAAATGATCAAAAAGATACCACTACCGAAGTCCCACTATAATAAAAATACTTGCAACTGCACAAGTATTCTTTCTGATGGTACAAGGGGACAGCAACCCTAACAAATAAACTGATAGCCTGAGAGGGTTAGGAGGGAAGGAAGGAATCCGACCCCACCCCCATAATAATGCCCATTTGGAGAGGTGCATAAATGTAGGGATCTTTACCTTCCCAGGAAGCAACGGTCTGATATACAGCACTATATAATACAGATAGGATACCAGGCCACAATGACTAGTAATTTGAATCACTATGACAACCCTTATAAATAAGCTTACTGTAGGCCAAAATCTAAGCATGGACAACACCTACTGAAGCTAATGGAAGTTGCAATTGAAACTGTATCCCTGTATATACATTCCCTTCCAGTTCCACCTCTCTTGGATGATCCTAACACATGCACTTTTAAAAAGAACAGCGGAGGCACTCGAGCAAACTTTTAAAAAATGGTTATCAGAGCTTCCCTAAACTGTCACCTACTGTCTGCATTTTCCTTTCCCCCATCCTTTACCAGAATATTTATAATACAAGTGATTGCCTTTCTAAGTAACCCGCAGATACCGTTACCACAATTTGGTTTTTGTGAGCTTAGAACAGAGGTGGGCAAACTACGGCCGGTGGGCCACATCCGGCCCATGGGACCCTCCTGCGCGGCCCCTGAGCTCCTGGGCCGGGAGGCTAGGCCCCGGCCCCTCCCCTGATGTTCCCCTCCCCCGCAGCCTCAGCTCGCCCCACCGCCACCACAATGCTCTGGGGGGGGTGGGGTGGGGGGGGGGGGGGGGGGGGAGGGCCTGCAAGCTTCTGGGGCAGCGCAGCTGCAGAGCCTGGCCTAACCTGGTACTCTATGCTGCGCAGTGCCGACAGTGTGGCTGGCTCCAGCCGGGCACCGCAGCTGTAGCGCCACCAGCCACTAGTGCTCCAGGCAGCGCGGTAAGGGGGCAGGGAGCGGGGGGGTTGGATAGAGGGCAGGGGAGCTGGGGGGGGGGGCAAGGCCAGGGGGGTCAGAGGATGGGGAACAGGGGGTTGAATGGGGGCAGGGGTCCCGGGGGGGCAGTCAGGAATGAGAGGGGGGATTGGATGGGCCGGTGGGGGGCAGTCAGGGGCAGGGGTTCCCAGGACAGTCAGGGAACAGAGAGAAGGGATGATTGGATGGGGCAGGGGTCCCGGGGGGGGCCGTCAGGAATGAGAGGAGGGGTTGGATGGGGCGGTGGGGGGCAGTCAGGGGCGGGGGTTCCAGGGGTGGTCAGGGGACAGGGAGCCAGGGGGGGTGGATGGGGCAGGAGTCCCAGGGGGGGCCGTCAGGGAACAGGGAGGGTTGGATGGGGCAGGAATCCCGGGGGGGCGGATAGGAGGTGGGGGCCGGGCCACGACCCCCACCCCTAACCGGCCCTCCATACAATTTCTGAAACACAATGCGACCCTCAGGCCAAAAAGTTTGCCCACCCCTGACTTAGAACCACTTCCATGCTGATGACAAATTGTGATACCAGTGTACAAATGAGACAGAAAGTGAAAAGAGATTCTATTTTTAATAAATACCCTAGCAATTATCAATGGCCCAAAAGGAAAAACAAGATCTTCACACACACACACACATGTATCTATTTCTCTTTTTGTTTTTAAGTTGTTCAGAATGTCTGTGATTGTTGAAGATTGTCTTACAAAACCAAGGAAGATTATGTTATAAAATAATTTGTAATTAACACAGGGGCTACAATACAATAATTGTAATACAAAATGACTTATAGGGAAGAGGCACTGTAACACCAAATAAAGTTGTCATAACTTACGAATATGCTCGGTCCAGTCGTCAGAATTTTGATACATAGAGTAAAAATGTTAAAGAAAAGAAACCCAAATATGTACTGAAGTACAGACTAATCCCACTATGGAAGATTCCAGTTCTGCAAACACTTAAAAGGATGTGGTAAATCAATGGCACTATTTCCATAGTAGCATCCACCATAAGCTTAAACCCTTGCAGGATTAGGATCAATATAAATATAACTATATACACACAGATACCTATTCAAAGTGAATTAGCACAAAAAAAATGTTACTTAACTACTTTAATCAAACACAAAAATGAATAGAATTTTATTTATAATTTTGAATTATTCCTACTTTCCAATGCATTCCAGTAACAGCACTCTCTAGCCTACTTTTAATTAGATTGTCTATATAAAAGATAGTATGCAGTGTAGTTGTAGTCGTGTAATGTTTCCAGGATATTAGAAAGACAAGGTGGGTGAGGTAATATCTTTATTGGACCAACTCCTGTTGGAGAGAGAAGCTTTTGAGCCACAGGTTCTTCAGGTCTGGTAAAGGAACTACCAGCAGCAAAAACACCCTATCGTCCCTGTGGGTGAACACTTTTCACAAAGCGTTCACTCGGTCTGCTGACTTATGTCCTCAACCTCAAAAGAAACCTGCACAATGCTTTCAAAAAATCATGGACCAAAGAGAGAGACTGTGGATTTACGATTTATTACAACAATCTGTAACCTATAAACCCCCTCCTTTGTCCTAGGACTGCAGAAGAGTAAACATGCCACTTTACCTTGAATGGTCCCTTACAATATGTGCTAACTACTTATGCTAAACAATCTGTTCCACCTTGCATTTTGCTGTGAGGCTGGCAGTTCCTTTCCCAGACCTGAAGAACAGCTCAAAAACTTGTCTCTGTCATCAACAGAAGTTGGTCCAATAAAAGATATTACCTCACCCACCTTGTCTCTCTACATAGAAGATTAACATTCAATAATTTTAAATAACTAAAAGTTGGTGCTCATAAGTTCTTTTACTCATCTTTTATAATTCAGTGTCAGAATTAGAATCTTCTTTTCACTGCAGTTTCCTTTTTACATGTTTATTCTTTTTAAATTGGATTTTCACTTTACTGCACTGCTGTTACATTTGCTAACCAGGCCCACATGTTCTTTATTTTCAGAACTCTGTGATACTCTGTTATTTTTATTTTGGTAACCTCATTTTTAGAAAAGTTAAACTGAAAAGCCATGACCCTGAAAGCCGCTCTGCGAGGGGGAGTCCCGCACTCATACAGAGCCCTGAAGGGGCTTAACAGTTTGAGGAGTCAGTGGAATAAGTGTGCAAAAACTAAACACAATACACTGCGATGGGAGTAGGGAGGAAGTCAGAGAAACCGAGCGACAAGTGGTAGCTAAGTGGTAGGTTGGAGAACAGGGTAAGAAAGGCTGCACACAGTGATGGGTGCCTGGCAGTTGGAAACCAACAGTGCTGGGCAATGGAGACCCTGCATTAACCCATCAACCTTATGGCTGCCCCAATGCCGCCCACCAGCTACCCCACATCAGCTCTCATCAGTGCACAGACACCCGCCCTATCCCTGCCCCCAACACCTGCAACTCTGCCCCTGTGCCACCCCATCAGCACCTGACACCAGTTCCATTCCTGTCCCAGCAACACCCCACAGCACTCTGGCCCCAGCAACACCCCCCAGTGCCCTGGCTCCAGCCCTGCCCCAGTGAAACCCCCCAGCATCCCAGCCTCACTGCAGTGACATCCTGCAGCACCCCAGTGACACCCTACAGAGCCTCAGTCCCAGCAACACCCTGCAGCACCTCAGCCCCATCCCTGCTTCACTGGCACCCTGCAGAGCCTCAGCCCCACCCCAGTGCCCCATCCCTGCCAGCTACCCGACTGACACCCCACAGTACTCACAGCCCCATTCCTGCCCCACTGACACCCTGCATTGCCCAGTCCCACCCATGACACCCCACAGCACTCACAGCCCCAGTCCTGCCCCAATCAGGGCCGGCTCCAGGCACCAGCCTGGCAAGCAGGTGCTTGGGGCGGCCACTCCGGAGTGGGGTGGCACGTCCAGCTATTCGGCGGCAATTTGGCGGACGGTCCCTCACTCCCACTCGGAGCGAAGGACCTCCTGCGAATTGCCGCCGCAGATCGCGATCGCGGCTTTTTTTTTTTTTTTGCTGCTTGGGGCGGTCAAAACCCTGGAGCCGGCCCTGGCCCCAATGACACCCTGCATCGCCCCAGCACTGCCCCAGTGACACCCTACCGCACTCACAGCCCCATTCCTGCCCCTCTGACACCCTGCATCGCCCAGCCCCACCCCAGTGACACCCCACAGCACTCACAGCCCCAGCCCTGCCCCACTGACACCCTGCATCGCCCAGCCCCACCCCAGTGACACCCTACCGCACTCACAGCCCCATTCCTGCCCCACTGACACCCCGCATCGCCCAGTGACACCCCACAGCACTCACAGCCCCAGTCCTGCCCCACTGACACCCTGCATCGCCCAGCCCCACCCCAGTGACAC